AAAATAGGATACTGATTTGTCTATAGAAAGAAAAGCTTGAGCTTCAAGGGGCCTCAGTCTTCTGCTCAAGCCACCCACATTGTCCCCCTTCTTCTTCTCTCTTCCTTCTTCTCCTGCCACAACAGAAATGATCGGGCCACCAGCTGTCAGCAGCTGTCACCCTTCCTGTTCTGTTTTGCCCTCCCTGCACTTTTCCAACATTTGCCTCCACTGTCTCACTGCTTTCTCAGCTCTCTTCCCTCACCTCCCTCTAGTCCTGCCCCCAAACAGGCCTGACTTGGGAAAGGAAAAGTGAGTGAATGGTTTGGAGGCTGAGGGCAGGAACTCTGAGATCAGGAGAGACAGGAGTGGCCTTCGGCAGTAATTCTCTTCTTCCCAAAGAGCAAAAGAGGAAGAGCAATGGCCTTGATGAGGTTGCCGTGAAGCCCAGCGACAAGCCGTGGTTCTGCACAGAACCAGACTGCTCAGTGCTGATGCCACACACTGCCTGCTGTCTTGGTCTGTATGCCTAAACTGGCCTCAGCAAGGAAGTTCAGTCAGAGGGCATGTGCCAGAGCAGATAACCACGGCAGACATGCCAGGCCCTCTGAGGACTCGGGCTCCCTCTGCAGCTCCCACCTAGCCTCTCTTGGAGAAGATGTTTGGCAAAAGAGAACCAGAGACCTTGCTCCTGGGAACCACAGGGGTGTCCCGCAGGTGTTAACTAGGTTTTTAGATGCCTTACCAATGTTCAGGTGGCAACACAGAAGTCTAGGCTCTCCTTGAATCCCTTCTCCTGTCCTCTAAAAGGGGGTAGATGGAGTTAGGGACACTAGGTGATGTCCTCAAGTCTGTGGACAAAATCTATCTGCATCACAGATCTACCCTGCAATGGGAAAGCCCTTTCAGTGGGCAGTTTAGACTGTAAACAGGCTTGGACTGTGGACAAAGGACATCACTTTGAACCTGTTAGCTAGCCTAAGAATCACCTCTTCCTATGAAAAACGAATGTGACTGTAGAACAGTAAACACAGGAAGTGCTCAGTAGACACATTGTTGTAGCTGTTATCCCAGAGGCAAGAAAAATCATCCAAGACTGACTGGAGCTGTTGGGTCTCACTCAGGCTCTCACACAGACTGTCTTCTCATACCCAAGCTTCAGCCTCTCTCGGGGCTGATTTGGGTTTAGACATGCTGCCCTGTGTTTTCTTCATAATTCCAGATCCTTAAGCAACAGGCTGTGGGGACTGGGAAAATAACTTAGCTGGTAAAATCCTGCTGTGGAGGCAGGAAGGCCTGGATTTTAAAATGTCAGGTCTGCTGGCACACTTGTTATCCTAGCTCTGGGGAAATAAGCAGGCAGAAGGAATTCTGGGGCTCCATGGCCAACCTGCCTATCCTAATTTCTGAGTTCCATGTCTTGGTGAAGTACCTTGTCTCAAAAAACAAGGTGGACATTGCCCGAGGAACAACACCTAATGTCCTCGGTCTCCGCATACACACTCACCCTCCAACCCTGAACACACACACACACACACACACACACACACACACACACACACACACA